TCCTCCTTTACTGTTTTTGTTTTCCAATTTTTTTTTTTTTTTTTTTTTTTTTTTTTTTTTTTTTTTTTTGTTTACTTTCAACAATAACTCAGCTGTTCAAATAATCAAATTTGACAATTAACTATAAATGCGCTCAGGAATCAGTAAACGAAGTTCATAAATATGTGTAATTCTTTGTGTATTTTAGGAAGGAGATAGATTGCCAAACATTGAAGTTTTGGAGAAGACCCCAAACACAAAAGTCAATCTGGGAGACTTGTTTAAAGGCAAAAAAGGGGTTTTATTTGGCGTTCCAGGAGCATTTACTCCAGGTTGTTCAAAGGTAAAAGGAATATGTTTGAAGTGGCAGCACCTGTAAGTTTCAAAGTGCTTCAGAATCATGATTGGATTGGTTTTCAGTAGCTCGCATTTCAGTGCTTAGCACATAGACAGTAACAGTTATTCTGTCCTCTTTCTAGGTCACTATGGCTTTCAAAATAAGTACAATATTTTTAGTATGTCTAGCATTATATTCATTGATACATGATTAATTCTTGATATACTCAAAGATAAGTGGTAAATTTAAAATCCACTTTCTGTGTATCTGTCACTGGGAAACACCAGCAGTTTTGTCATGATCTTCATAAATTTTCATTCCTAATTGGCTTCTCATAAAACGGTATTTATTTCAGACACATCTTCCTGGTTATGTTCAGAATTTTGACAAACTGAAAGCCAAAGGCATGGATGTGGTTGCATGTATTGCAGTCAACGATCCGTTTGTGATGGATGCCTGGGGAGAAAATCAAGGAGCAAATGGCAAAGTAAATATGTAGATGATGTTATTAGTTAAAAAGGATGCGGCACACTAACAGAATCAATGAATGGCTTGAACATTGCACATTCTTCAGAAAACATCCCCAACTATTGACTAACTAATCAACAGATACAAATTAGAGGTTTGTTTTGAAAACATTGAACTTTAAATATGTGTCCTTTTCAGTAATAAACTTCATTGTCATGTAGTGGGATGATGTATAAGGGGACGGTGCCCTCTCACAGGAAAGGGAGCTAGCAAGTTAAGCTATCAACCTAAGCAGTCATTATCGACCTGTAAGATAGGTTTTCAAACTCCTTATACCAACCCATGGCCATTCACTTTTCTTATCTGAGGTGTAAATCCTGGTGATGTCTTTTTCATGTCTATTCAATTTTTAACTAGCAATTTAAACAAGGTCATGTAAAAATTATGCAGTTAGATAGCTTTTGCGTGTTTTACTTGTTTATGTATCTCTGCATGCAAAGATGATGATGTGCATCTTGAAAGTACGGATTAGTAGGGGAATAAACCTTTGTTGTCATTGTTGATATTTATGGCATGCTTGTAAATACAAAAGAAATAATGCCTTTGTTTATGCCAAAAAAGAAAAAAAAATTAGACCTAACATTTATTTCAGTTGTTTTTTTATCTTATCTCAATGTGATCAGAGCAGTCTCGAGTTACTGGTTGGTGGTAATTTTTCCCTTCTCAAATTAAGGGTTACGTAACAGCTGTTCATTTTGGTCAAGTGGTACCTTTCTTAAACTCAAAAATTGGTATTAACCATGTTGCTTCCCCTTTAATTCTATTATTATAACTTATACAGTCATATTGAGATGTTCATTTCTCCGCCACACTCTTTCTCTCTCTCTTAAGTGTGCTTTGGCATAATGCGTTGTCATGTTGAAACATCAGCTCACAATATTTAGCCGTCCTTGGTAGTATTCTAAAACAACATTTGGTGTAATTGGTTTTTGACATTTATTTTCAGATCCGAATGTTGGCAGACTACAAAGGAGAATTTGCAAAGGTAAGTCAGTTCTACTGTTTGCTAATGTAAGTGCAAATATTGCTGTTTAGTTTTATTCTTAACACAAACTCTATTCTAATGGCATTTGCATTCACATTGGCGTTCACATGAATTTATGCACAGTTTTAAAAACTCTCTGTAGTATTTCAGTGAACTAGTTCTTTTTAGTCTGGTATAAATTTTCATTTCTTTTGAGTAGAATAAAACTGCTTGGCAATTCCTTGAACATGCAGCTGCCTATAGGGCTTCCACTTGCAAAACATGTTTTATAGATTATAGATTTTTAAAAAAAATTTTACTGTGCAGGCAGCAGATCTGGAGAAAGACCTCACAGGTGCACTGGGCAGCGTTCGTTGTAAAAGGTAACACTGACATTCATAATAGCTGGTCTTGTACTGCACTGGTAGTTAAAAACTTATCAAATTGTAGTAAAAATCGGACCTCTTCTTTTACTGTAAAATTGTGTTTTACATTAATTAAGTATGCTAATTTGAACTTTTTTTTACATAAACTGCTTAATGTTGGTAACTTGTGTACTAATTTGTTACAAATATGTATATTGACCAAATGAAATTGCCGTTTTTCACTATTTTTTTCCAGATTTTCCATGGTTGTAGAGGATGGTGTTGTGAAGAAGCTCAATGTGGAGCCAGATGGGACAGGACTCACTTGCAGTTTGGCAGATAATGTTTTGTCCCAGCTGTAAACATATTCTCTCAACAGATTCAATAACATGAACACCAAAAAACGCACAAATTTTGTCTTCGACTACGCTTATGAATTTAAGGCCTTAAATGCATCTTCCAGGCAGGCTTAGGTTGATCCCATGCTTATTTAAGTGACATATAAGACTACTTAGTCCAGTTACCTTATTATAGTGGTGATGGGTTGAAGACGTCCATAAGGCTTCCAGCAGTTGGTTTCAAAAATACGAGTTCCCATTGCCAACTGAATTTTACCATGTCGCAGTATTCAAGCTCATCTTCAAGTGTGGCAGCTAATATAGATGCTAGAACTGCATTTGACACATTTTTTTGTTTTCTTTGTTTTGTGGAAAGCCACGTTGAAATAAATCATGCCATAAAACATTACACGCTTTGTCTTTTAAGCTCTTCCAACTCCTGACTGTAGAACAGTAGTTAAAGAATAAGATTTACACAGCATCACTGGTGAAGCTTCACTATTAAATTTTATTTTTAAAATCGTATATGTTGCAAATGAATTTTAGGGACAGAACAAAAGTGTTGAAATAGAACTTTTACATGTAAATTGTCAAGCGGCATTCAACATCAAAAATAAAAATGGTCAAATTATTGGATGTTGTTTTAAAAGATTTCATTTAAAATTCTGACACACTTTTCAGTTTGCCCTTCAAAAAAATACTATTACCAATCACAAGTAAAAATTGTGTTAAACAAAATCTTCCGAAATTGGGGGGAAAAATACTTTTCTGGAGGATAAGTGGGGCATTGAACAATTTATTGAGCACTCAAACAATAGACTCCTTGTATTTTGTAACATGACACTTCTCTTACAAGCAACTTACTAAATGATATACCAGACCACACAAAATGAACAGGTTCTTTTTTTACTTTTGGACAACTGTACGTCGCAACACAAATAATCTGTTTAAAGCTTGTTAAAAGCAAAAGCCTCTCAATCTGCCAAACCCAAAACAATCAGTCTTGTTAACATAGGCTGAAGCTATTAGTTTCTACTGCATCGCAATTCTGAAAATTCACACTACAGCAACTTCTTGGAGCTTGCTGTGATTTTATAATATCAAATTACAAAGCACTTGGAAATACTTTGAAACATTTTCTATCACTTTTAATTATATATCATAAGGCTAACAAAGAAATCTAAAAGTTGTATATTTCTTTTAAAGAAAATTTAACGTTTACTTCACAAAAAGACCTAGCATATTATTATTACACAGGCAATCCATTAATATCAAATCAAACGAACAAAGACTGACAATTATTGTTCAACAGTCAACCTGGTTTGTAATTTTCTTACAAGCTGTCTAAAATTCTTCAGCTGTTAGTGATAGATATCTGTTGAATTAACTAAATCCTTTTCAATTTGCATTTCACTTTTTCACATGGCGATTACAATTTCTTCATTACAAATAGGAACCTTCACCATAATCTACAAATATGACTTTCTTAAATTTTTAACTTAAAATATAAGAGATGAATAAAAACCTATTTTGATATCTTTACATGATACTAAAATATCCTTTAGTGCTAAATTCTTGTACAATACTATTACAACAGATGAAAAGGGAAAAATAATTGCTTACTTTTTTCCACATAGGAAACCTTCCATTAATGATCAGTAACTATTGGTAATATCACTGAACTGTATTACATCTCGACTAACACAGATGCTTTCAAGCAATTTTTGTGTCTATATAAACTGCTTTTTACAAATTTGCAGCTTTGGAATACATGCTATATTGAAGTGTCTAGGTTACAGCACCATAATTATGCTGCAGCTCTCCTTTCCACATGTTCACAACAGTGGTCTTTGACTTTTGCCACTAGAAAACATTTGATTAGGTTATACATGTAGTGTCCCCAATTTAAATTGGTTTATACAACAATGTAGTCACATACTTCTTCTTGTACCTGTGGGTTGCACTGAGTACCATTACACCATCCTGAAATAAATAAATTGGACAACTGATACCTTTCATTTTTTAAACTTGCACTACTCTATGCACTTTATTTTGGTTTCCATTATTCAAGTGGTTACAGACTTCATTGATTTTTGAGACAATGTTTAACTGTAAGTAGTGCTGTCAAAGGCAATTTTAGTTCATCTATGAAAACTTGGGTGCAACACTGTGCATCACTCCCCTACAAAATGGATGTAACAGCTCTAGGGTGGTTACGCTGTAGCGAGCATTGCTAACTGCTGCCCCTAAATCAAGGTGTAAATACAGCGCACAGGGAAAGAGCATCACAGTTACTTCTTGATACAATGATACATACATTAGATTTTTCCAGCTTTGGAACCAAAGACATAAAATACTGAACCTTGCCAAATTCAGAACCAATGAAGTACAAATTCCAGTTGATGGCAGCCAGCTATCACAACACTGTAAACCAACCAGCCAAGACTGCCTTGAAGTTGTTTATGAGCATCTACACTTGACAAGAAAAAGTGAACAAAGAAAGAACATACCTTGATAGAAAGAGCATACAAGTGATTCAACATCACATGGTTGGGTTCTGGCAGCAGATTTGGTTCACACTGAAACATAACAGCAATACTTAGTCATATTTATTTCAAAGATTTTACACACAATATGTCTCTGTGAATGACACTTCTTTCTATAGCCATCCACATTTTTGATTAACTTTCAACATTGCCTTAGAAAAACAAATAAGTGAACATTACATTATTTGCTCTAAACATCTTTTTTAGCCAAACCCACATCTGTTACCATGTGTCCTAACAATAGTTGACACATTTTGGTCCTTTATTGTGAACTTGAGATGTACCTATAACAGTGCACATGATTTTAATCCTAAGTATCAAAAATAAGATAATTTAAAATAATTCAAAACATAAACATACACTAGCTGGTACATCTTTGTTGAGAATAACTTGCAATAAATGTGGTGGCAGAATAGGAGGACCTGGAACTTTTTCATTGGGCTTTCTCTGTGGCACTTCTTGACAATACTCCCCTGGTGGTGACCCAGACATAGCTGTGAATACAAATGATTATTTTATTCATGAGATGATACATCTTTTATGCCACAGGCCATAAAACGTGACTATATACATAATATATATAAATATATTGCTAATTTAACAGCTCGTTGGATTACTGCAACCACAAGTGCTTTGTTCTTTATCAAATGTCTAAAAATTGCATTATAGCATCCAGATCAGATGTACACTTACAGGTTTTGCTTTCATTCGTTCCCACTGCATCACTTTTTAATGCTTCAAACACTTCAAAGTCAGACTTCTTCACTTTCATAATATTGTTTTTTGTCCCCATATTGTTTGTTGTAGTTGGCTGAAAGAAACAACACAATTCATACAGAGTAACTTTTTACCATTAAGAACAAAACAAAACTCTTTAAGTAAATGTATTCAATGAAATTGAGCCATGATTATGCATCAATATACAAAAAAGAACTGCAATGCAGGTAAAATTTTCATCCACAGCATGTTACCTTAACATTGGAAGGTTTTAAGAGTGACTAAAGTCCTACTCTGAGACAACAGCGGAGCTCTGTTATATAATAATCATACAGGGTAGCTTAAAATACATGGAAAAACTGTTAAACAAAGAACACTTTTAACACAAACTATATTGTTTACAATAGCTTTACATATCAACTCCCCTTATGAAATGTTCCTTAAAATACAGTTTATTTCTTTCCAGTTAAAATTCAGGCCTAAAATCACATCAAGAATACATTACCAAAGTAATAAATTCTTGATAACATATGTAAGCATCCAATTTGATTGTTGGGATCATCATACTAAAATAACAGTAGCTATTATAAAACCATTCACTATCACACAATAATCAACCCATAGTTAAAGGGACACACCATTAGATTTGGTAAAGTATTTCTTTTGCCAAAAATTAAAGCTCTACAGTGTAAATGAAAATACAAGCAATTTGTACTACAGATAATTTTTTTTTTTACATTAAGAAATGGCGATCATGACAACATGTTTGTAAACATCATTTTAAGGGCTTGCAGATCATCAAGGTAATGTTATACTAGTACCAATATATCTTTTGTAAACCACCCCAATTTTTCAAAAGTTTTTTTATGTAAGCTTTTTCTCAAACACAATCAGTCCCTTTAATATGAGTGTAATTTCCACAATGTCTTTTTTTTTTCATTGGAATCTGTACCAATTAAAAACCTCAGGTTGACGCACACATCTGCCTTTAAACAAGGTGTAATATAAGCAATTTCCAACAACCTAATGCTAGTGCACTTCTGCTCTGGTCAGTACTTTAAATAAAAGACTGAATGACCAAATAACAGCCTTTTTTTCTTTAAGCATTAATTCTTAGCATTATATATAAACCATTTAGTAGATCAACTTTACACATTATTGGTGGGGTTGTAGAGGCTACTCTTCTAACATTTAAAGCCACACTTTCTACTTCCACACTAAAAATTCTGGCTAATCACGGGAAAGAACACTCTTCAATAAAAAAAAAGAGTGAAAAATTTAGAATAAGACACTGCAATAGAAACTGAAAGAAATATAGTGTCCAAAACAAAAGAAGCACATTGGACACTGCTGCCAGATGCTGGCGTACCTGCAAAGTTGAATATTGGGGCTTAAAAGAGTCACATAGTCACAAGGACTATGTGACATCTTGTTCTTCGATTCCCTGTTTTTCAATTCAACCTGAGAGTGTGTTCTTTCTCTTTAAAATGGAATGGTACAAGTACCTCATTTTTGTCATGACACCATACTCCGTCAACTAAAAATTTGTACTCAGTTATGCCTTCTGGCAGGTCTATAATCACAAAAAAGTCTCCGTGGCTGAAAATAAATCAACATATGTAATCAGTTTTGTTCATTCTGTCTATCATATGACATGGTCAAAAATGGTAGCCATGAGTTGCCCCACTCTAGCTACTTATTCTTGAACATGTCTCAGATAATGCTGACATAAGCATGCACACTTCTATTTTCAAATATTTTCCTTCTGTAAAATCTGATAACAATCCAATACAAAATTCCAAAATGCTCTCATATAAAATATTAGCTGTACTGCTTATGTCTGCATCATCTGTTCCTTATGTCTCTGTTGTTACCTGATTTGCACTGTGTACCCACTGGCCATCAACTAGAAACTTATACTCATGCTGACCTTCTTTTAGGTCTACAATGGTATAAAAGTCACCATGGCTAAGGAAAAACAAGATAAGTGAAACATGTTGAAAAAAAAGAAAAGCAAGCATTTATCATATCTCTATATTCATGCAATTTGAGGTGTTACTAAATGTGTCGACTTGTACTTTTGTTCTTCTCAGCAAACTGTGTAGAATTTTAAAGAAAACCAATGTATTTTGACAGCCATGTTGAGGCTTCCAACTATCTGGCATTCACAATTCTCCAAAAACTAAATCAACGATTACCTTTTTGCCATAGGTATTTTTGATTTCCAATTATCAAAACTCCCTGACATATAGACTTCTTTTCCTCCACCTTCCCATTTAAATGGAGTGGGTAACCTAATTTCTTTATTGGGCCGTACATAATTGCTGAGGGAGTCTGCACGCATTCGAGTGGTCAGGTCAATATCTTGGCCTAAAGTCGCTGCCTGAAAATACATATTCTTCATTATCAGTGGTTATTTCTGTTTTGAAGGGTAACTATAGTTTTCAAACTGGCACAATGAGACAATATGACATAGAATGGCTATTTTGATCATCAAACTGAAGCACAAACAAATTATCAATTTTAATTTTTCCTTCCCACCCCTCAAAACATTCAGAAGTTCAGATTAAAAAAAATTCACATGGTATAAATCTAATTATTTCATTTCATTGACTTCAGCCATGAGGCTAAAGTCACTTGGAAACTGGGCTCTCAGATTACAGAAATTTTCTTTTATTCCCAAATACTGAATGTAATCACTGCACCGAATTCAAAGAGACCACATTTTTGGAATGTTAAAATCCAAAACTATTCTTTGATAATTTCATACACAAATTGCACTACATTTTCTATACTCTTTTTGGGATACTTTAATTTGCTGTAACTCCCCCCCCCAAAAAAAAAAAAAAGACACACACACTGAAGTCTGAAGCCATCCATTTTCAATTTTATATTTATCTAAATTCAGTTATGTGCTGGCTTTGATCAGACTCTCAGTTATTCAAACAAAGTAACTTGACTATTAAAGATTGTGTAGGTGTAAAATGTTTAAAACCTATACGAATTAAAATATTTCTAGGACAAATCCAACCACTTAACCTCAAGTCAAGCGAGAAATTAATTGTGAGGTTCAATTTAAATATGTACTAGTACCCTCAGTGATCCAGGCATGAATTCATCACTTTCATCCATAGATGGTTGGTAAATTAATCTATTAGTCCTTCCGACACCAGGAGATGAAGGCGGGTCATCCCCAGAGTTGTGTCTTTTCTGTCCACCAGGCCCAGTATTCCCCATATTGATTTCTTCAAAAAAGTTCAATCTCTAAGTCCAAGTCTTTGTACAACCTGATGATCAAGTTGAGCAGTCCCGGTTTGAAATAAGGGACGACATAAACGTCTTCTTCTCGTCTACTAAGCCTATATCTACAGCTACAGATGTTAATGTCACAAAGAATACAACAATTCCACGCAAGCTAAAGTATGAACGAACGAATCCTTAGCGAAATTACGGAACCTGCCATGAATTGATATCTTGTTCGCACGAATTTCACGAAAACAACAAACATGGCGTCATTTGAACTCGTCGCCGACACTGTTTGGCTATCGCGTATCCATAAACAGGAGTGATTGTGTCATAATCATATTCGTTTTACGTTTTTTATCATATTTTCTTTAATTTGAGTTTCTTAAATTGACAACTAAATTAAATATTTCTACATATTCAAGCACACCGATGACCATTTGCCTATCCTACCCCCCTTATGTTAAACTAGTCTATGAGCGAGATTTCAGCGAGAGCTAAGAAAGTCAAGGTCAGTTGGATTTGGAAAGGGCATGTGGCACGTGCCACCTTTGAATTGAAATGTTCTTGGTTGCCCTTGAACCCTTTATTTCATAATCTTCGAATACATGGCATTAAAAGCCATTAAAGAAAACATATAATTTCCACTTAATATGCCTGACTGGTATAGCCATTTTTCAAGTGCAGTGGTTATGCTAGAATCTTTTATTGTAGATCTACACCTTTAGGCCTATCAGGGGTCTACATGTGTATAAAGACTGTATATACATGCCGCCTAAGGATAAACAATAACTAAGTATTCCTTGAATTGTAAAATGCAATATATCAGGAAAACTATAAAAAAATCTACACAAAGTGAGAAATTGATGCCGCTTTATTCAACCCTTTTTACCCCCCTCCCCCTTCCCCCCCCCCACCCCACCCACCCCCCAAAATTTTTTTTTCTAAAAATATTGCCTAATCACGCTGGATATGTAGGACAGGTACGTTCCATGAATAGAGGATTCCCTGGTCGTAAACTAATGAATGAAAATCATTCGAGAAGCCATTGATCACATAGGCCTAAGTCTACATCCAAAGCTTGGTGAAATCATTTAAATATTTCGTGAAAAAAACATAGGCCCCTTTATGGTGAAATCACAGTTAAAATGGCTGAACCTGAAACAGCGATAGCTCTCGGTTTGAAATTAGTCGGATTAGGGGAGACCGGGGCTAGTTGGACCCCGGGGTAAGTTATTATTCGTTTTCATTCATTAAATACCTGCTTTATACCATTATTAATTTTCTTAATTAAAACAAAACATGTTTTATAAATTTATAGATATTTTGGAAACCTCAATAAATCTGCCTCATTTGAACTATTTATTCATCAAAGACTCTCAAAAATCAATTAGATAAATTAAAAATGTGTAAAAATGTATTTCAAGGCGTTTACATGGAATACTTAGGGATACAAAATGAAATTGTGGGCCATCTGACATTATATTTAAAAAATAAAGACGTTGCATACGTAACTTATTTCATGGGGCTTACTTTGAAACCGATTTTGTTACTCTAACTCATTCCTAGTTGGCGTTACAAGGCCAAAAGTGTCTAAGTGGGCCAACTAGCCCCGGTCTCTTCTATACTGGACCGACATTGGACTACTGGAAGCATTCGAAGGTCAGGTTGGTCACTACATTGGGGCGATTTCAACCGAGACAACAAGCACTGTCCTGATGTTGACATGACCCTCTCTTAATACCCCTTTAGGGCTGTCTAATTTCTGTTAGTGTTATTCACGTGCAATTATTATCCTTAAGTGTTCATATTTTTTTTTTTAAAAAACTTAAGTTACTAAAATCTTTGTTACTGAGTACAAAAACTCTCCATACCAGCCAAACGTATTAAAAATTTCCATGACTTAGGCCTACACAAAAAAGCTAGATTTACATGTATCACGTGCTCTTACGTACGAGAGTTTTAGAAAAAGTAGAATTCGCGAAGATATCTTTAACTTCATTTTTCACTTTTGTTATTTTTTTTCTTCAAATGAACCTACATATTGAGAATCAGATTCGATACTGACGCAGGGGCTGCTGCATTCCACGTCTATCATCTTCTTTTTACGTGTGTGTTAAGTTTCAAGTTAAACAGTATTTTCAAGAAATAAAATGGGATTTAAAAAATTACCCATGACTGGAGAGTGGGCAAAAGTGCCTTGATCCGCCCCTGAAACCATTTTAGTTTTTAGATAATACGTGAAATTCACCTTCAGGCTTTCCGGCTTCTTCCTCAATTCTTTGTGCGCTTTTCATAATCCATTTGCCTCAGATCGTCCTCCATAACAACTGCCAGTGATACTAGGCATTTCTTGTGTGTTGCTAGGGTTAATTTATCAACTAGCAGGCTAGGGTGTAAACTACTGCCAGTTTTTTTTTTTTTTTTTTTCAGGACCAGGCACAGGTGCGGTGAGACCTCTGGCGGAGGGGGCTACTGACTGTGAGTGGTGCAGTGGTTTGTTTACAAACAGAGGGGTGCACATGTTCAAGTGATGCCGTAAGAAATAATGTTGGATGACAGTACATTTTTTTTGCCATTGGGAGTTATGTCAGTGTGTCTGCTGTCCATGGGGGTGGGAAATGTTTCACAGAGTAATTTTGTTCATGCAGTTTTGCAGGCATTTCTTAGTATGGTCGTCAATGGGAAATTATTTGGTGGTTTCTGCCCTGAAATGAGATTCAATCAGATATGTTTGTTAGAATGCGGATGTTTTGTGGACTAGTTTCTAACATTGTACTTTTAATGACTTAGAAACCATTTAACATATGAATAATAGCTAAAACGCAAAATGAAATTTTGCACCAACATAACAAAGCGGCAGACCAGTGGGTTATTCCCAGATGCAATGAAGCGGTAAATACTTCCTTGTAAAGAAGAATTGAAAAGTTTGAACCGGGAAGCTTGGACGCGTGCCAACTACAGGTAGAAATGTTTTCTCCGAATTCATGCAACATAACGAAGGGTACCGGTGCCCGTGATGTGTTAGAAGTTAAAAGTGCCTACTTAGGTCTTATCACGACGGTGTGTGAAAGCCAACAAACAGGAATTTTTATTTTCTTGAATACACCTCGAACAGAAGGATTTTTAGAGGCCGGTGGATTGTGTAAATTTTTACCAGGCAAGTTATGGCTTACTGTAGACTTGTCTTGCTTGGACTCTTTTCCATGTTTTGGGCAACATGTCCATGCTTCGAACACTTTTCATTCGCGCCCAAAGGAGAGAATTTGGGATCGTTCACTCATTGGACCTTGACAGAGGACGCTATATTGAAGGTGGTAGCACGCTTTTTCGAGTCTGATCCTAATGTTCCAGACGGAGAGCTACAGAACTTGCAGCCCTTGTCAGCAGAACTGCTATTTCACGAATATTACGTGAAGTATTTAAATGGTATGGGGTATTTTATACTTTATTTATGCTTATGCTTTCCTCATTTTGTCTCTTAGTTTACACCAGTTTATCAGAAAGAAAAGCAAAAAAATATATACTGCCATTGTATCTGTCCCTGTCGTCACCGTAATTGTCGCTGTCTCAGTCCGAAACATTTTCCCATCCAATAATTTCCGAACGTTTTTTATTTCATTTTATTTTTTACTTAAAATTTGCCGTGTGGTTTTGTAGGTTAAAACAACTTTGATCGAGTTTTTATAGGGCGTTCTCCTGAGGCTTGTCGGAAATCCAGAAATATATGTTTATATGCTTCAAGGAAGAGAGAGGAATTAAGGAAGAAATGTTTGCAACTTTGATACAGCAACTGGAAGCTAATTTTTCTTTATTTGGAAATCTTCTACATTATGATCTTGCTCCAAAAACTGACAGAAATTACTTCTTGAGTGTGATGGAACAGCTAGATTATTCATTTTTCTCAGTTTTGTCACAGGTTCGGCATAAGCAATATTACAGCAGTTGAATATTTTATTACTTTCCATTCCGAAGATTGTTTGCAGACAGTAAAAAGACAATGTACATGTATAATGGGCCTTTTGTTTTGTTTTGTTTTTAGTAACATCATGAATTTCATTTCCAAATATGGTCCGGATAAGGCGCCATTCCCATTGGTCTATGTAGATCGACCAAGCTCTGCGGGGACTTTCGCTGAGTGCAATCAGCTTAACAGATTAACACGAAGGCTGTCACGTTGGAAACGAGAGGAGGCGTGTCATTCAATTAAGATGATTGCACTTAGTGAGAGCAAGGAGTTATAACAACAACTCCTTGGTGAGAGTCCCCGCATTTAAAATAGCCTATGCTGATTTTGTTGCAAATTCCTGATACTTAAATTTTAAGCTTAAGTCCTGCAATAATTTTCTTTGTGAACGAATGTGTTATGTGTCTTAAATCCGCTTTTTAACGTTAGACACACAGGTAAAACCTGACAAATTTCGAGAAGCTATGAAGCAAATCGTCCAGGTCAACGCCCTGCAGGACATTAGCTACCCAGAAGATGCAGCCATCCATATGAGAAACGAAAGAATAAAAGAAGGCAAGTTTGGGTGATATCACCGTTGTGTGTCTTTATAATTTCTTCATAAAGAAATCCATAGAAGATAATTGCACTAATTTTTGGATGTGTTCTGTACATGTAGCAACTTAACATTATCTACTGCCCAAGTTTTTCTTCAAGTATTTAATCAGTAACAGAGAAACTATTTACTGGGAGATGGAGGCATTAAATGTCATTTCACGGTGGATTAAGGCTATCTAAACTTTAAAAGTGGACACCTATTATATATTTTTGTTACCCAACACTTCCCATTTCAACCATTCGCCCTTCAAAATTCCAGGGTACCTGTGGATCTCAGTGTTTTTCTTTTCTACCCTTGTGGGAATGGAGGGAGAATGGGGTTTAAAACTCTTAATGATCCATTTGATTTTAATTTGGCCAGGAAGATGATATGCCTGTACACGTCTATAAACACAGTTAACGACAAGGAAAATCACAAGTTTCGGTTATATGCTATTTCATCGATACTTTATAAAGTACCGTAATGATATGGTCATATCTAAGAATGTAAATCTAAAAGGGAACAGTTTGGATTTTCTTTGTTATTACTTTCAGGTCATAAATGGATCGTTAAACTCAGAAAAAGACTCTTAGAAACATTGGCGGAGGACAAACCTAATTATGACGCTGCACGGGACTGGCTGGGTGAAATTTTCCACACCCTTCAAGATTTCTACAGCAATACCAATTGGATAGAACTTAATTCCGAGGAGGAGTTTTATAGTAATTTAGGTAAGCAAAATTCCGGCACTATTGTTATGATCATGTTGTGTTGAGACTGGCCNGCTACCGGGTAGGTCTACATGTGTGTAAAGACTGTATATACATGCCGCCTAAGGATAAACAATAACTAAGTATTCCTTGAATTGTAAAATGCAATATATCAGGAAAACTTTAAAAAAAATCTACACAAAGTGGGAAATTGATGCCGCTTTATTCAACCCTTTTTACCCCCCTCCCCCTCCCCCCCTCCCCCCAAAAAAAATTTTTTTTCTAAAAATATTGCCTAATCATGAAAAACGCTGCATAGGCCCTATGTAGGACAGGTACGTTCCATGAATAGAGGATTCCCTGGTCGTAAACTAATGAATGAAAATCATTCGAGAAGCCATTGATCACATAGGCCTAAGTCTACATCCAAAGCTTGGTGAAATAATTGAAATATTTCGTGGAAAAAATATATATGGTGAAATCACAGTCAAAATGGCTGAACCTGAAACAGCGATAGCTCTCGGTTTGAAATTAGTCGGATTAGGGGAGACCGGGGCTAGTTGGACCCCGGGGAAAGTTATTATTCGTTTTCATTCATTAAATACCTGCTTTATACCATTATTAATTTTCTTAATTAAAACAAAACATGTTTTATAAATTTATAGAAATTTTGGAATTTTGGAAACCTCAATAAATCTGCCTCATTTGAACTATTTATTCATCAAAGACTCTCAAATATCAATTAGATAAATTAAAAATGTGTAAAAATGTATTTCAAGGCGTTTACATGGAATACTTAGGGATACAAAATGAAATTGTGGGCCATCTGACATTATATTTAAAAAATAAAGACGTTGCATACGTAGCTTATTTCATGGGGCTTACTTTGAAACCGATTTTGTTACTCTAAATCATTGGCGTTACAAGGCCAAAAGTGTCTAAGTGGGCCAACTAGCCCCGGTCTCCCCTATACTGGTCCGACATTGGACTACTGGAAGCATTCGAAGGTCAGCTTGGTCAGTAGGCCCTACATTGGGGCGATTTCAACCGAGACAACAAGCACTGTCCTGATGTCGACATGACCCTCTCTTAATACCTTTTAGGGCTGTCTAATTTCTGTTAGTATTATTCACGTGCAATTATTATCCTTAAGTGTTCATTTTTTTTTTTTTAAACTTAAGTTACTAAAATCTTTGTTACTGAGTACAAAAACTCTCCATACCAGCCAAACATGTATTAAAAATTTCCATGACTTAGGCCTACACAAAAAAAGCTAGATTTACATGTAGGCCCTATCACGTGCTCTTACGTACGAGAGATTTAGAAAAAGGAGAATTCGCGAAGATATCTTTGACTTCATTTTTCTCTTTTGTTTTTTTCTTCAAATGAACCTACATATTGAGAATCAGATTCGATACTGACGCAGGGCTGCTGCATTCCACGTCTATCATCTTCTTTTTACGTGTGTGTTAAGTTTCAAGTTAAACAGTATTGTCAAGAAATAAAATGGGATTAAAATAATTACCCATGACTGGAGAGTGGGCAAAAGTGCCTTGATCAGCCCCTGAAACCATTTTAGTTTTTAGATAATACGTGACCTTTATTCCAATATTTATAATTTATTTATTTATGCTCATTTTATTTATTTATTTATTTATTTATTTATTTATTTATTTATTTATTGGCATTTACTCGTTTGTGACTGTAGGTCTATCATTTCTTCTTATAAGGTTGTGCTATCTGTTATCATCCCTCTACAAAAGATCGTGAAATTCACCTTCAGGCTTTCCGGCTTCTTCCTCAATTCTTTGTGCGTATAGGTGACAGTACATTTTTTTGCCATTGAGAGTTATGTCAGTGTGTCTGGTGTCCATGGGGGTGGGAAATGTTTCACAGAGTAATTTTGTTCATGCAGTTTTGCAGGCATTTCTTAGTATGGTAGTCAATGGGAAATTATTTGGTGGTTTCTGCCCTAAAATGAAATTCAATCGGATATGTTTGTTTGAATACGGATGTTTTGTGGACTAGTTTCTAACATTGTACTTTTAATGACTTAGAAACCATTTAACATATGAATAATAGCTAAAACGCAAAATGAAATTTTGCACCAACATAACAAAGCGGCAGACCAGTGGGTTATTCCCAGATGCAATGAAGCGGTAAATACTTCCTTGTAAAGAAGAATTGAAAAGTTTGAACCGGGAAGCTTGGACGCGTGCCAACTACAGGTAGAAATGTTTTCTCCGAATACATGTAACATAACGAAGGGTACCGGTGCCCGTGATGTGTTAGAAGTTGAAAGTGCCTACTTAGGTCTTATCACGACGGTGTGTGAAAGCCAACAAACAGGAATTTTTATTTTTTTGAATACACCTCGAACAGAAGGATTTTTAGAGGCCGGTGGATTGTGTAAATTTTTACCAGGCAAGTTATGGCTTACTGTAGACTTGTCTTGCTTGGACTCTTTTCCATGTTTTGGGCAACATGTCCATGCTTCGAACACTTTTCATTTGCGCCCGAAGGAGAGAATTTGGGATCGTTCACTCATTGGACCTTGACGGAGGACGCTATATTGAAGGTGGTAGCACGCTTTTTCGAGTCTGATCCCAGAGTTCCAGACGGAGCGCTACAGAACTTGCAGCCCTTATCAGCAGAACTGCTATTTCACGAATATTACGTGAAGTATTTAAATGGTATGGGGTATTTTATACTTTATTAATGCTTTCCTCATTTTGTCTCTCAGTTTACACCAGTTTATCAAAAAGAGAAGCAAAAAATTATATACTTCCATTGTATCTGTCCTGTCGTCACCGTAATTGTCGCTGTCTCAGTCCGAAACATTTTTCCATCCAATAAATTCCGAACGTTTTTCATTTCATTTTATTTTTTACTTCAAATTTGCCGTGTGGTTTTGTAGCTTAAAACAACTTTGATCAAGTTTTATACAAGGCGTTCTCCTGAGGCTTGTCGGAAATCCAGAAATATACATGTATGTTTATATGCTTCAAGGAAGAGAGAAGAATTAAGGAAGAAATGTTTTCAACTTTGATACTGCAACTGGAAATTAATTTTTTTATCTTCTACATTATGATCTTGCTCCAAAAACTGACAGAAATTAATTCTTGAGTGTGATGGAACAGCTGGATTATTCGTTTTTCTCAGTTTTGTCACAGGTTCGGGATAAGCAATAATACAGCAGTTGAATGTTTTGTTACTTTCCATTCCGAAGATTGTTTGCAGACAGTAAAAAGACAATGTACATGTATAATGGGTCTTTTGTTTAACACAAAGGCTGACACCTTGGAAACGAGAGGAGGCGTGTCATTCAATTAAGATGATTGCACTTAGTGAGTGTCCCCGCATTTAAAATATAGTGATTTTGTTGCAAATACTTATACTTTAAGCTTAAGTCCTGCAATAATTTTCTTTGTGAACGAATGTGTTGTGTCTTAAATCCGCTTTTTAACGTTAGACACACAGGTAAAACCTGACAAATTTCGAGAAGCTATGAGGCAAATCGTCGAGGTAAACGCCCTGCAGGACATTAGCTACCCAGAAGATGCAGCCATCCATATGAGAAACGAAAGAATAAAAGAAGGCAAGTTTGGGTGATATCACCGTAGCGTGTCTTTATAATTTCTTCATAAAGAAATCCATAGAAGATAATTGCACTAATATTTGGATGTGTTCTGTACATGCATGTAGCAACTTTACATTATCTACTACCTGTGGACCTCAGTGTTTTACCTCCTACCCTTGTGGGAATGGAGGGAGAATGGGATTAAGAAATTTAAATGATCCATTTGATTTTAATTTGGCCAGGAAGATGATATGCATGTACACGTCTATAAACACAGTTAACGACAGAGGAAAAACACAAGTTTCGGTTATATGCTATTCCATCGATACTTTATGAAGTACCGCAATGATATGGTTATATCTAAGAATGTAAATCTAAAAGGGAACAGTTTGGATTTTCTTTGTTATTACTTTCAGGTCATAAATGGATCGTTAAACTCAGAAAAAAACTCCTAGAAACATTGGCGGAGGACAAACCTAATTATGACGCTGCACGGGACTGGCTGGGTGAAATTTTCCACACCCTTCAAGATTTCTACAGCAATACCAATTGGATAGAACTTAATTCCGAGGAGGAGTTTTATAGTAATTTAGGTAAGCTAAATTCCGGCACTATTGTTNGTCCCTGTCGTCACCGTAATTGTCGCTGTCTCAGTCCGAAACATTTTCCCATCCAATAATTTCCGAACGTTTTTTATTTCATTTTATTTTTTACTTAAAATTTGCCGTGTGGTTTTGTAGGTTAAAACAACTTTGATCGAGTTTTTATAGGGCGTTCTCCTGAGGCTTGTCGGAAATCCAGAAATATATGTTTATATGCTTCAAGGAAGAGAGAGGAATTAAGGAAGAAATGTTTGCAACTTTGATACAGCAACTGGAAGCTAATTTTTCTTTATTTGGAAATCTTCTACATTATGATCTTGCTCCAAAAACTGACAGAAATTACTTCTTGAGTGTGATGGAACAGCTAGATTATTCATTTTTCTCAGTTTTGTCACAGGTTCGGCATAAGCAATATTACAGCAGTTGAATATTTTATTACTTTCCATTCCGAAGATTGTTTGCAGACAGTAAAAAGACAATGTACATGTATAATGGGCCTTTTGTTTTGTTTTGTTTTTAGTAACATCATGAATTTCATTTCCAAATATGGTCCGGATAAGGCGCCATTCCCATTGGTCTATGTAGATCGACCAAGCTCTGCGGGGACTTTCGCTGAGTGCAATCAGCTTAACAGATTAACACGAAGGCTGTCACGTTGGAAACGAGAGGAGGCGTGTCATTCAATTAAGATGATTGCACTTAGTGAGAGCAAGGAGTTATAACAACAACTCCTTGGTGAGAGTCCCCGCATTTAAAATAGCCTATGCTGATTTTGTTGCAAATTCCTGATACTTAAATTTTAAGCTTAAGTCCTGCAATAATTTTCTTTGTGAACGAATGTGTTATGTGTCTTAAATCCGCTTTTTAACGTTAGACACACAGGTAAAACCTGACAAATTTCGAGAAGCTATGAAGCAAATCGTCCAGGTCAACGCCCTGCAGGACATTAGCTACCCAGAAGATGCAGCCATCCATATGAGAAACGAAAGAATAAAAGAAGGCAAGTTTGGGTGATATCACCGTTGTGTGTCTTTATAATTTCTTCATAAAGAAATCCATAGAAGATAATTGCACTAATTTTTGGATGTGTTCTGTACATGTAGCAACTTAACATTATCTACTGCCCAAGTTTTTCTTCAAGTATTTAATCAGTAACAGAGAAACTATTTACTGGGAGATGGAGGCATTAAATGTCATTTCACGGTGGATTAAGGCTATCTAAACTTTAAAAGTGGACACCTATTATATATTTTTGTTACCCAACACTTCCCATTTCAACCATTCGCCCTTCAAAATTCCAGGGTACCTGTGGATCTCAGTGTTTTTCTTTTCTACCCTTGTGGGAATGGAGGGAGAATGGGGTTTAAAACTCTTAATGATCCATTTGATTTTAATTTGGCCAGGAAGATGATATGCCTGTACACGTCTATAAACACAGTTAACGACAAGGAAAATCACAAGTTTCGGTTATATGCTATTTCATCGATACTTTATAAAGTACCGTAATGATATGGTCATATCTAAGAATGTAAATCTAAAAGGGAACAGTTTGGATTTTCTTTGTTATTACTTTCAGGTCATAAATGGATCGTTAAACTCAGAAAAAGACTCTTAGAAACATTGGCGGAGGACAAACCTAATTATGACGCTGCACGGGACTGGCTGGGTGAAATTTTCCACACCCTTCAAGATTTCTACAGCAATACCAATTGGATAGAACTTAATTCCGAGGAGGAGTTTTATAGTAATTTAGGTAAGCAAAATTCCGGCACTATTGTTATGATCATGTTGTGTTGAGACTGGCCGTAGTAAAAATACAAGTACTGGCTAGCAAAATGCTTTGTATGTTATGTATTTAGAAATTCTGAAGAAAAAAATATTGTCTCTCGAGGAAGCGAAAAGAAAGTTTTCGTCTCTCTTCATGAACTTAACCTGCTATGAATTCTGTTGTATATCTTATCGTTTACAGGTCTCGAAGATCGTGTTCTTATGCCAATAGCACATTCACAGACACCTGTATGCACAGATTGTAATGACGCAGACGGGTAGGGAGAATCCTCGGATAATTTATTTTTTGCGTTGAAACAGAGAACATTTCTCTACTCATCGTTTTTTTTTAAATATCTCTCTTTTTGGTTTTGGTTTTGGTTTTTTATTGGCTATTTTGTTTTACATATATTTAGCTAAACTACCTCTATAAGCAAATGTTTACTTGTCATTCAGTACTTGCGAAGATAACCTGATTGACATGGGCGATGTTCTGACCAGTGGCTATTATAGTATGGAAGACCCTGCTGTTAAACCAGGTGAGCGAAAACATTATTTGCTGAACGTCTGCGCAGTTTTTAATTTTTCAAATTAATTTTATTGTGTTAATTTTTTATTCTGTTAATATTTAGAAGAATGTACATTATTCTTTGTCATAATAAAAATTGCTTGTATCACCAAAGAGAGCCACTAATGCACAGAGTAATAACATCTCATTTTAGATTTTTTATATTGGCTAAATAAATTGACAACATATAATATCTTCAGAGTTTAAAACTGGTATCAATGAGACCCCTTTAACTTCTATTTTATTGGCCATCAGAAGAAGATGGAAAGTGCAGCCATGGTGGAGCATCTGATCTGACCAGGATCATGTGGCCTAAGGGGGGCATCAACAAAGAAACCAAAGATCCAAAAAAATCACCGCATCATTATTATCACGACAAGGCAGCGACCGCGGCTAATAAACATGTAGAATTTTTCTTAGACGACCCAGGTATGGTTTCACACATTCTACCGGGTTTTAATTTGATTTTTTTGGGCAATTTTAAGATTGTATTACCGTAGATACATGTACAGGGTATTTGCTTAGCAGCATAAAATGTGATTTTTGTATGGATAACAACCATAGTTTTACATGTTACAGTTATTGATGTCTGATTGAAAAGAATCTCAAAATGAAAAATTAAAAACTAGAGGATCAGAGAGGCGATACCACCTCCAGATATTGTAAAACCAGCTGGAGTAAGCGCATTCGTATGGACCCCCCCCCCCAAAAAAAAAAGGGACACCACCACCACCAGTCTTGTGCTTGACAAGCTCTATAAAATGCAATCGACAAGAGATGTACCTGTATTTTTCTAACATTGATCACTCCTGTGATTCTCTAGACAATAGGCCTATTGGTTTTCCTTGAAATGTGTTGTCATAATTGCATATATGCTGACAAAAGAAAAAAAACTAGGGGCAACACTGGACCTATCTCTGCTAGTTTTGAAGATATGAGGGGCAAGAAAATATGCAAAGCTCAGTTCATGGTGAAAAAGTAGGTCAAAGGTCAATTTCAATGTCATAGCATGTGACTTCCTATTCAAGTTCAATAGTAACTATGGGCATTTCTTTGCCAATTTTGGAGATTTAAAGGCCAGAAAAACAAGTAAAAAGCAGTTCATCATAAAAAGTAGGTCAAAGGTCAATTTCAAGGTCACAGTTAGATAGCCATTGTATGACTTCCTATTCAAGTTCAACAGCAACTTTGGGTCTATCTTTGCCAGTTTTTGAGATATAGAGATCAGAAGATTTGCAAAGTGCAGTTTATCATGAAAAAAGGTCAAAGGTCAATTTTAAGGTCACAGTTATATTGCCAGTATATGACTTCCTATTCAAATTCAATAGTAACTATGGGCGTATCTCTGCCAGTTTTGGAGATACAAGGGACCAAAAAGTTGCAAAGTTTAGTTCCTTATAAAAAATAGGTCAAAGGTCAATTTAAAGGTCACACATAGATTGTCATTAATTGCCAATATATGACTTCCTATTCAAATTTAATAGTAATTATGGGCGTATCTTTGCCAGTTTTGAAAGTATAAGCATTAAAAAAGTTGCAAAGTTCAGTTCATGGTGAAAAGTAGGTCAAAGGTCAATTTCAAGGTCACAGTTAAATTGCCTCTAATGACTTCCTATTCAAGTTCAATAGTAACTATGGACCTATCTCTGCCAGTTTTGGAGTTATAAGGGACTAAATATAACAAGTTTGCAGTTAACATAATGTGCCATAAATTTCCTACAAAAGAAATTAATTGAAATAAAGAAAAGGTCATTTTGGTTGGAATTCTTGAAATGGGAGGTGGCCAGAAGTTCCAGATGTTCAAATTTCATGAAATAATGTCATTTTTGACCAGAAGTTGTCTGCCTCGCCAATCCTTATGCTTTATTTCCAGAGGTTCAAAATTTATTACACATTACCGTATTGCACATTTTGCTTTCACCACCACAATGTACTTTTTGATTGAGCATAACTCGTAAACCGTATGGAAATAAAAAAAAAAACCGAGACCACCTTCAGTATTGGGCTTGACATGCTCTACAAAATGCGAAAAAAGAACAGGTCTCTAGCATCAACGGTTCCCGAATTAGAGACAGTTTTCAGTTTCGGTATCGGTATGGCCGCTACTCCCGTGAAAATGCACCGACTGACCCCAAACTCACGGACATGAAAGATGACCTGAAGCGTAACACCTGCCAATAATATTATAGGTTAGGTCTGTGTAGTTTCTGAATATTAGTGCAAATAATTTTTTCTTTTCGTAAAAATTTTCGTTTTTTTTGAAAATTTTGGCCCGTTTGACCTTGAAATAAAGGTCAAAGGTCAAATCCAAGGGCATATTTGAAATCTCCACATATGACTTTCGGTCAGCCGTTTATAGAATTTTTTCCAATAATTCCTTTAGTATGGTAGATAATAAACATTTAATTTTGCCAATTTTGGACAAGGATGCATTGCAATTAGCGCCACACCTAGACACCAGAACCGATGAAGCCCAAATTTTACGTGGAGCGAGTTGAGATTATAGGTGACCTATATCCAAGAGATGCCATGGGTACGCAAGCCCTAGTCTAGGAGGAGAAGCGGTAACGGTAACATGGCGCTGGAGCCGGCGGAACGATCCGGACGGGACTATAACCATGTGTACCGCGCCAGCGCCAATGCTGGTGGTACAATAAATCGCAGGACAATTTATTTCTTTACTGAAGGTTCAAAGGCATATTCCATACAACGAAAATCTAAGACTTTTATATATATATGAGTGCAATTTGAAAATGATACTCTCATATCATAGTCAAAGAGAAATAAATCCACTAAATATTTACATATATATATATATATATATATATATATATATATATATATATATATATATATATATCTGTCCAGCAAATATTTTTGCACAGAAATGACGTCATCACTCAGCAAGCCTCTGGTAGAGAGTATAATGCCCAATGCATTGTGAAACGTATAGCATCCCCTTGGATGCATGTGTTTGCATATGTATAATACATGTAGTTTCAAGAACATAGCTGAACATGGAGTTATACTATATGCCTGATAACACTAAAATGGTAAACTCTGAAAAAGGGGGTTAATAATAGGGCAAGAATTGTCAAATAATGTCTTTTTAAAAATATATGAATATTTGTAAGCATTGATAACCATTTTGTTTCGGTTTCAGTCACGGGGCTCCGAACACTGATAGGAGACCAGAAATTCAAAGAGCTCTTCCAAATTGGGTCAATGGTATCGATGGTGTTTGTTATTGATGACACCGGTTCCATGGCGGATGAGATAGATGCAGTAAAAGATGAATGCATCAGAGTCGTCGAAACTACATCCGGGACAGTTAGAGCTCCATTTAATTATATTCTTTCTACGTTTAATGACCCAGGTAAGTCGGAGTTTATATATTCAAGTGCAATGATTCGAGAGTAGACACTTTTTAAAGGAAAAATTGAGTTGTGGAAAAATCCAGGATAGGATACCTTTGAACACTTCATATCAGTAAACAATATTTGAAAATTATCATTCTTGCAGATGGTAATCCCAGTATACCAAAAGGAGAATTGACAATTACCCAGGACTCCGAAGCAATGATAGACGCGTTGCAAAATCTGTATGCTCAAGACGGAGGTGACTGCCCAGAGCTTGCCATGTATGGGCTGGCAGAAGGCGAGTAAAAGTTGTTTGAATTTCAATTGAAAGTTAAAGGCATTGTTTTTAGGAGAATGTCCTTTTATCTTTCCAAAATAAACCTTTATCCCCAAAAATAATTGTTTGTAAATACTACACACGTGCGTTAGCAGATATTTGCACTTAAATTGACGTTCTCAGTATTATTTCAACAACACATATGAACAATCCATATTTGGTTTTCTAATACATTTAGTGCATTCTTGGTTAGAGTTAGGTTCCTTTATATTATACAGGTAGACCCGAAGTATAATTACCTTCCTCAAGGAGGTCGTGTTTTTGCCATTGTTGTTTTATTAGTTTACAGTTAACTTAATTCTAAAAGTTATGGACAGATTTTGATATATTTTTAGGATAGTTCGGAAATAAGCTACCATAGAATTGAATAGATTTTGGAGATGACACATTTATTCATTAATATTGAATAATGGGAATTGAGATATATTGTTTGATATGATATTTGGCATACAAGCAGAAAGAAAAAAATGTATACGCTTTTCACCTTCAGCCATTAAGGTATGTCAGCCTGGTTCTACAATATACTTTTTCACGGATGCTCCTGCAAAAGACGCAGACAGGGAGGGAGAAATTGAACAGCTTGCCCTGGACAAGAACGTCAAGATTGAGACGGTGTTGACGGAAGGATGTATTGCCAGAAAAAGGCGCAGTTTGCAAGGTTTTTTTCTAAACACATTAAATCATTTACTCGTTTAATTTGCATCTCTCGTAAAGACCCCCTTAGATAAATGAATAAATAAATAAGTAAAATAAAGATATATAAAGGTACGATATCAAAATCAGTTTGAAAATAGCATTTTAGTTTCCTATGGAGATGTTTTATAAGAGAACAACTACGCTGTAAACTTTTATGACTTCATTCTCACTCTCCGAAGACACAATGCTAGCTTATTTATATTTTGATTAAGATAATACTTTGTTGGCATTTACAGTCGTAGACATGTTCCAAGCTGTTTCATATTGTATGTCTTGTGTTTAAGAAAACAGTAAAAGGTCCAGACAGAAACGTGCACTCTTCACGCCACCTAGTTTGTATACGAAATTAGCAGAGGCCACTGGAGGGACCGTGTATATAACAGATAACACTCATATAAGCAGTGTTGTTAGTATTATTCAGGTATGGAAAAACGTGGTGGAAAGGGCTTTTGCAAAATTTGTTAACTTACAATTTCATTGACCAGTGGATAAGCAAATAATTTTAAAGCCAACAACCTTGTTTTTACGTAAGTATATTTTCCTGTTAGTAAATTATTAATATACTATACTTTTCATTTTAACACAGGAAGCTACAAGAACAGCCACTGTAAGCGTCACACGGTTTATCAGCGATGACAGTTCCAGAAATTTCACAGTGGACAGCCAATTAAGTGAACTATCTGTTAAAATACTGGGCTCTTCTTATACACCTTCTATAAGAGTCATCTTGCCTGATGGTAAGGCAAAAATAAACTTTTCCTGTATATCCTTTATTGCGAAAAGATGCCCTTTTGTACTCAGATTTTCCAAATGTAATTTAATTATAAGATCAAACATCGAAAGGGTCGTAAAAAGTAAGTTAATATTTATATCAGATGATGTTTAACAAATTCTTTATTACAAAATACTGCATATAAACTCTGTTTTGCCTACTGCAGGAACCTCTCATCCAATGAGTGGCAGTGATTTTAACGTTACAAGCCTAGGACCATATGCCAAAGTTTTTACGTTTAAGGTAACTCCATATTTGTAACTCAAAGCCGTTGTGAATAGATGGATACTGTAGAGTTATCTCTGATACCAGAATGCTTTGTCTAACCAAAAGTATATATTTGACTGAATTTCTGTTTCTTGTATGTTATAATAAAAGGGGCGTGCGTTTTCATCTGGAATTCATGCTTTTATCTTCTTTCCGCTTTGCAATTTGACTCAAATGTTGGATATTAGAAAGACCTCATTTTCTGCCAACCAAATATTCGTGCGTCGATAAAATAACTCGTTTATACAGAGAGCAATACATGATCTTACAGGAATCTCTGCTCATGCCTAAATTATGCCGAATATGGAAATCATCGTTTGAAAAAAGTTTACATGATAGGCCTGTTTTAGATGTGCCCTTTTGGCACATTGTATCTTATATTAGAAATTATATACAAAATCGTTAACTTTCAGAACCCTCCGCCAGGAATCTGGTCATATCAGCGCCTGTCTTCAGTAGAGAGCTGGCAGGTGGACATAACTGGGCAGAGTATGCTGGATTTTCTCTATGATTTCCTGGAAAAAGATGAAGTTACTGACACATTGTATGCTGCCACGGGACGTCCAATCGCCGGTATGAAATAAAAGTTCATGTCATGCATCTGTATTTTTCAGAACGTAAGTATAAGGAAAATGAAATTAAATTAGATTATCGAATTGCACAAATTTCTTTCTTGTTTATGAACTGGCCCATATCCGGCTTATTAAGACCATAGTTTTTCATTTGCAACAGCATCACAAATATTGTCGTTTTTGTAGGAGTCAACACATCTATTCTGATCAGGGTGACCGATGTGTACGACAATAATTCTTTGACAACAGTAAAACTTCAAGATGAGGATGGTAATACCACCAGTGAAATATGGCCTCTCAGGGGCGGTGAGCAACTGCGCAACTACTATTTTGCAACGCAAGTTCTACCATCAGAGGTATTATTTGTTTAACTGTTTGAAAGAAGAAAAGAAAAGAAATTTAAATACTTACCGTAACACAGTGTGCTATAAACGCTGATTGCTATTTATCTTAAAGATAATATATTTTTGTAAATGTTGATAGGGTTCTGTATAACATTTACATAAAATAGCGGTATTTGAAGTATAGCGGTATTTGAAGCATAGCAGGTATATTTCTATACGAAGTATTCCCTGTTAGAAAACTGTTTCACTTAACCACTTCATCTGAATATAAGTAGCGCTTTTCTTAAAGGACATCATCCTCTCAATTTAGGTGGGAGTATCAAGGCAATTTCAGAATATAGATAATCTAGAAACTGACAATTTCAGAGTTTTCGCCTGGCCATCGAGGGCTATGACAGCAGAGGGTATAGATTTACAAGGCTGTCTACTGCCATGGTTAAAACAGTAGGACTGAAGCTTCAGGTCCATCCTATACCAGGTAAGTAAACCTCAGGTCCATCCTATACCAGGTAAGTAAACCTCAGGTCCATCCTATACCAGGTAAGTAAACCTCAGGTCCATCCTATACCAGGTAAGTAAACCTCAGGTCCATCCTATACCAGGTTGGTCAACATTAGGTCTGTCCTATACCAGGTAAGTTAACCTCAAATTGATCCTTTAAGCCCCCTTTACATTGGACGGCGTCCTTGCTGTGTCCCGTAATACGGCCTCGTTTGACATTAAAAAAAACTTTACGTGCCGACAACTGGCCGATCATTGAGCATTCATTCTGCAACCAAAGCGATGCTTGTGCCTCCTTTCTACGACCACAGCGATGCCAGTTTCATATGGCCGCACAAAGGACGCAGAAAGGACGCCGCCCAGTGTAAAGGGGTTTTACCAGGTTAGAAAATCTCAAGTTCATCCTATACCAGGCTAATAAATCTCAGGTCCAACATATACCAGTTAATACAGGTCCATACTATACTACACCTGGTTAGTAAACCTCAGGTATATCCTATACCAGGTTAATTAGGCGTTTGGTTTGTTCAGAAAAGGACTGATTTAGATCGAAAATCTGTTTAAAGTAAAACATCCGAAGAAAATATATTATATAAAGATATATTTGAAATAAACCGTCTGGTGTGCCATCATCTTAATGCACTTACCGTAACACAGTGTGCTATAAAAGCTCATTGTTATTTATTTTAAAAATAATAATTTTTGTAAATGTTGTTAGGGTTTTGTATTACATTTACATAACCACCTGTTTTATAATAAATATGATGAAAAAGGGAAATTTTTGTAAATCATTATAAAGAGATTGCTTTTTTTTTTCACTCCAATCCTTTTGGCCCATTCTAAAGTCAACTGATGAAATCCATCTTCTATATTTCAGCCTTATACACTAGGGAAACCGCCTATGTAAATTATACAGTAACCAATACTGGACCAGCAGGAAACTTTAATGTCTCAATCCTCGACACTGAAAATTTGGTCACTGGATCAGCGTTTTCAGTGTTCTACCTATCTGAAGATGAAAATAGGACTGGTTCTTTCACCCTGTATGGGGGTATAGATCCAAACGTAACAAGGTAAAAATAAGGTTTACTTAAGCCCCACTTAAATGGTCTTCATCCTTCATCCTTGTTCATTATGTATTTGCAATTTTACTTTTAGTACTCGGTAATATAGTACGAAATGTCACATACACCTGTCTGTATCAATATATATATATATATAATTCCTTATATTTAAACTTCTTATTTGAAGCTTTCATTTAACTTTCCATAATAAATACTGTAAACCGAAAATGGTTTTCCATCTTTTCAGCACAAGTAAATACACACCGACCAGGGAATTCAAATATATATATATATATATATATATATATATATATATGAATTCCTTGGTCGGTGTGTGTGTGTGTGTATATAATTTAAAACTAAAAATGTGGCGTGTCTTTTCATGTTTTTGTAGCAAAATGATAATATCGGCGGCGCCCAGCGGTGGGGGTAGTTTGACAGCTCAATATAAAATACGGCGGATATCTGTCGGGGAGAGGCTTGAACAGGTACACCTGTTGCACTTATTGTTGCAAATAGGCAATGAAAGAGACATTATGAATTTTTCAGACAAATTTCTAACCGAATCAGTGGTGATTTTCGTAATAATTCTCTTAATGTGATCACATAGGTGTCTTTATAATGACCTTTTTTCAACTATCAATTCTGACATCGATATTTTGGCACTTTCAACGCATTTTGGTTCCTTATATTTTACCATGCCATGTATTCTATGAATATTTCAGGTTGAGGATAATGCTGCTCCAAACTGCACCATTTTGTCATCCGTTGACCCATGTCAGCTAGAGCAGCTGGACCCCTGCGTGTGCCACGCCCACTTGTGGCACGTGACTGCTGAGATCACCGAAACTGGGTTTGGCTTGCATCGTATCTACGCTGGAAAACTTAACAGTAGTTCGGCGGCGTTTTCTTACGACAATTTTACATCTGCGTCTTCACTTACAAACCCGGTGATGGTAAACGTGAGGTAAAAATTTAATAAGATCTGTCAAAACTAACAATTAAATTAAAAAATAATGATGCAGATGTTATCGACAACCAAAAGAAAAGTCATAACTTTGTGTGTTGAAGAGAGTATCTTGGTCGAAGCCAATTCAGTTAATTCAATGAAAGAGCTTCCTGATTAGTTCGAAACACGTACAAAAAAAATGACTAAAAAGAATTTCAAAAATTTAAATGCCCGCCATAATATGCAAACATTTTCTCCTTCAGCTCTGATTGCTGCAACCCTCTAGTTTACATCAACGCGGGGGATTTAGCCGGTAACCTTGGCCAATGTACCATAGACCACAGGTTACATGGAGTTCCCAGTGAGTGTATTGAAACCACAACGACTACCGAGGGCACCACAACCGCGTATGATGCGCCGACAACAGGTACGGCTGAGAACCCGGAGACCACGACTGTTAGTGCCACTACCCATACCATTGCTGCTACACAAAATACCGCAACCCCCTCAGTAACCAATGGCGAATCAACACTTTCATTCGAAGTTTTTACTCCCGAAACAACTAACGTTGATATAACATCCCCAACCGAAGATACTACTCCCAAAACAACTAATGACGTGTCAGTTACTATTTCATCCAATACCGCAACCCTATCAGTAACCAATGGTGAATCAACACTTTCATTCGAAGTTTCTACTCCCGAAACAACTAACGTTGACGTAACATCCCCAACCGAAGATACTACTCCCAAAACAACTAATGACGTGCCAGTTACTATTTCATCCAATGAAACAGTTCGACCAGGCTATTCGAATAGTCGATATGGAGAACCGAATCCCAATGAGCCTTCGCCTATCATCCCAACTTACGGTATAGCTCTTTTGGTGGTAGGGGTCATCATCGTAATTCTTGGAGGCACATTGTTCCTTTATAAGAAAGGAATTATTTTCAAATCTCTTAATTTACAAAGACGAATTGCCCCCTGCCAAGACGTAGATGTCATCAAAGCGGACTACGTCGTGGATGGGAAAAGTTCTGCATCAGTAAATGAGAACAACGGTGACTCCAGTGCACCTGAAGCCAATTTAAACCATGTACAAAAAGACGTTGTTATAGATTATTTCATTTATGTGTAAAAGACAGAAAAGACTTGACTGATATTTGTACTCAGCCAAGTGACTCTTGAGTACAGTTGGTGCACGGTCTAGATGTACAGTGACATACTTGTGGTACACACGCTGGACAAAAGAAGTGTCACCCCCTGAATCAGAGAAATCAAAGTTATAAACCTGAAGAGGCGGAATATAAGCAATGTCAGAATATCGATACAGTTGAATTGTTCAGTCAGAACCGTTCCTTTGGTGAAATTTGATGTTAATAAAATGATCTCCCTCAAAGTATTGGTTCAGTAGGGGTGACACTTCTATTATCCAGTGTGTGAATAATCAATACTCTCATTATCTGGGTTCGCTTTGCTCAGTGCATCATATTTAAGAATAAAACATCGTATTATATTGTTATTTATCATTTGGAAATATATGTTTATATTTTAATAATAATAAAAAAAAAAGAAATATTATTGGAGCTCTAAGGAATGTACCTTGTAAATACTGACATGGAACTGACATGTTTTCGATGACGCAGGTCGAAGTGCTCTTACAGGTACATGTATACAAGGTTAGCCAGGCAAAACAGATAACCTGGCCTTCGGTTTATTTAGTTGCTGATAATTTAGTCTTATTTTCGCCGTCATTGGATTGTTGTCCCCAAATATAATTACGTAGTTGTTTCTGAGGGAAAATTGCTTAAATTTTGAAAATAATTTGAATATTGATTTGTATGTATAACCCCCCCCCCCCCAAAAAAAAAACATTTTTTTTCCCTAAAAATATGCCTATTCATGAAATCATGAAAAACGCTGGGAATGTAGGCCAGGTACGTTCCATGAATAGAGGATTCCCTGGTCGAAAACTAATCAATAAGAATTATTCGAGAAGCCATTGATCACAAAGTCAACATCCAAAGCTTGGCGAAATCATGGAAATATTTCGTGGAAAAAAATATAAGCCCCTATATGGTGAAATCACAGTTAAAATGGCTGAACCTGACACAGCGATAGCTCTTGGTTTGAAATTAGTCGGATTCTTATACTGGACCGAGGTTGGACTACTCTAAGCATTTGAAGGTCAGGTTGGTCAGTACATTGGGACGATTTCAACCGAGACAACAAGCACTGCCCTGCTGTCGGCGTGACCCTCTCTTAATACACCTTTAGGGCTGTCTAATTTCTGTTAGTAGGCTATTATTCACGGGCGAATATTATCCTAAAGGCACCACGTTAGATGGAAACTTGATTGGGGTTCGACTCAATTTAATCTCTTAGGTATAGAATTCTCAGTAAATTTAAACGATATGGTCACTTTAAACTTTGAGAAACAAATCCCTAAAATAGAGGGTATGTTCGGCATTGGAATAGAAGAATACTAACCCCTATTGGTAGAATTACTATCTTAAAAACCCATATCATTCCAATGCTGAACCATAGTTTCATTTCTCTTCCAAATCCAGATGCAGTATTCATAAAAAAATTAAATTCCCTTTTTTTCCAATTCATTTGGGGTAGCAAAATTGATAAGGTAAAGAGAGGTCAGATAGTAAAAGATTATGAACATGGTGGTCTAAAAATGACAGACTTAAGTAAATTCGTAACGGTATTAAAATGTACATGGATAAGAAGACTATACCTTAAAAATAACGTATATAACACTATTCTCCAGAGCACCTTTGATTTACAATCTATTTGGAATATTTTTGACTATGGAAATGATTATTTAGATATAATCTTACGTAATTGCAATAATATATAGTTTTTGGAGAGATGTCATTATCTCCTGGAAAGATGTAACAAACGGTATAGAACATATAAATAGCAATGTCGCTCTTGAACCTCTGTGGTATTATAGTAGGCCCAAAGTAAAATTGGGTGGGGTATCAATATTTGATAAAGAATGGTACAGTAAGGGTATTAGAATAATTGGCGATCTTTTCAACGAAGGAAAAATTTTAACCAAAGCTGGACTGGAGAGGAAATTTGGACTCCAAAGAGTTTGTGATCTAAAATATTTTGGAATACGTAACAGTTTAAAATGTAGGTTAAAAGAAAAAACAATGACGAAATTTTTGAAGAAATTTTATTTCATTATATTCCTCAGCCGGTTCAGCTACTTATAAAAAGTCGAAATGGGTGGAAAGATTTCTATCAGGTTCTCATGAGTGAAACTCTTGAAAACTTGGTACACGAAAGGAAATGGAACCTAAATCTAAATACAAATATCACTTGGAAGTATGTTTGTGAGAATTGTTTCTTTGTTACACGAGAAACAAAACTTCAGTGGTTCAAATATAGAATAATTTTAGAATCTTACCAGTTAGGTCATACCTGAAAAGAATCGGTATTGAGGTGTCAGAGAAATGCTTTATCTGTAGAGCGGAGAGGGAAGATTTGCGACATGTATTTTTAAATTGCTATCGAATAAGAAACATTTGGACTGAAATGGAACGCTTGAATGCTCACAAAACTAATGAAAGAATTACACTCTCTGATGAAAATATAATTTTTGGAGTATCTAAAACGAATTTCAAGGCTCTAAATTATATTATTCTCGTCTCCAAATTTTATATATATACCTGTTTAAAAAGAAAAATGCAGCCGACCTTCCCTTCTGTTATATATCAAAACAAAATTCGAATTGGAAAAATATGTTTCTCAAAAGAATCTTCAGTTATGTCATTTTCTTACAGAGTGGAGAACCTGGGATTCTATCTTTGACTACTTCTCAACTTACAAATTTACTATACAGTGTCATGGTAACTCTTCGCTACTTTCTTCTTATAAAATGTTTGTGTCGTGTAATGTGCAGCATTACTTGTATAATATTGTATTGTACGTAGTCTGGCTATCAACATATATTTCATGTTTACTTAATGTATAGTGAATGTCTTGTGCGTGTGCTTGTGTGTGTGTGTATGTGTGTTTGCATATGTATTTTTGTTTGTCTTTGTGAATAAAAATATATTATCCTAAAGGGTTCATATTTTAAAAACTTAAAAGTTACTAAAATCTTTGTTACTGAGTACGAAAACTCTCCATACCAGCAAAACATGAATTTAA